CCCGCGGGGGGGGGGGGAGGCCCCCAAGCCCACGCAATCTTGCCAGCCTGGAGACCTCTTAGGAAGCACCCCTCCCACCCTCCTCCGCAGAGCTGTCACCGGGACCGACAGCCCAAAAAGACAACCGGAGAGTAAGACACAGGACGACAACAGGTTTTCTGAAGCCAAGTATGACATCCAGGAGCACGGAAAGTCAGACGTGGGGAGGATGGAGGTTTCCAGAAATACCTTCCCTTGTCGCCGTGGCCCTTCCCCTGACCAGGAAGACTTCAAGCGCAAGGTGACCCCCTACCTCGGCAAACACACAGGGCCACCCCCCGCGGGATCGAACGGCCCGGACACGCCAGGCGACACCGCGTGGCTCCAACAGCTGCTGGGACTCAGGACGAGGAGGCAGGCCGGGACGCCCCAGCTCCAGGAGGCGGCGTTTGTTGGGGGGAAGCTGAGCTTCGCGGGGGCCACAGTCGTGGCTTTGCCGTCTCCCTGGCGCCCACGGCCCCGGCAGAAAACCGAGCGCCAACTCGCGCCCCGCGGGTTACGTAAGGCGTCTCCCCGTCTCCCCGTCTCCGCCGCGGTCCCCGCCACGTCGGCGCCTGCCACATCATCGCACCCCACCCCCATCCCCGCCGGCACCCCGGTGGCGGCCCAGCCCGCGCTCCCGCAGGGCGGCGACGTCCCCGGAAGCGAAGAAAGAGCTCGGGGCACAGCGCGGCGCGCAGACATGGCGGCGGCCGCAGCCCCAGCCCCGACCCCGCCAACCCCGTCGCCGCCATGTCTCCACCCAGCCTGGGTTACTACAGCGTCCCAGGCCCGACGGCGCCGGCCTCGCGGAAGACCCGCCGCAGTTCTGAGACACGAACGGAAGAGGGCTGCTCACCATGGTGGCGGATGGCAGTGGATTCTCCCCGAGTAGAACCAAATGAGGCGAGCCGCGCCGACGATGGCGGCGACGACGGCGGAAGAGGACGCTGACGTCAACAGCCGGCCTTTTATAGGCGGACGCCGGTTGGGCGGGTCATATGACTGCGTTGCGGGGGCGGGGCGAAGAGACGCCGAGCGCATGCGCACGGACACGCTTCTCTTGTTAACTCATTGGGCGCCGGCGCGGCCGCTGTGGGCGTTGGGGTTGGCGTCTCTGGGGCGGTGGTCGTCGCCAAAGTGGGGCCACGTCTCGAGGGTGCAAAGAGCCCCGTTTTAGCCGCGATAAGTAATCACAGCAACCATATTAGCTTGCAAAATGCTAGGTGAACAGGGTCTGTGGATGCTACCTAAGTCAATTTCCTGCTGTTGGCGTTGTTATGTAAGATGATACTCCTGGGAGAAACTGAGGGAACCGAAGCCCGCGATCTCTCTGTGCTGTTTTTGCAACTCCTTTCAAAATTAAAAAAAAACTTTTTTGAAAGCAGGTATTGGCTGTACGCGGTGACCCACGCCTGTCATTCCAGCACTTTTGGAGGCCGAGGCAGGAGGATCGTTTGAGCCCAGGAGTTCGACAGCGAGACCTCATTTTTACCAAAAAAAAAAAAAAAAAAAAAAATCCAAAACTTGTCCGGGCGTGGTGGCATGCACCTGTAGTCCCAGCTACTCAAGAGGCCCAGGAGGGAGGCTCGCCTGAACTCAGCAGGTGGAGGCTGTGGTGGCCATGAGCGTGGGTGGCACCACCCTCCAGCCGGGATGACAGAGTGAGACTGGAATTAAAAAAACAAAACAAAACAAAAAAACCCACAAAACATAAAAAGCAGGTGGCCAGGCAAGGTGGCTCAGTCTGTAATCCCAGCACTTAGGGGGACCGAGGCAAGGGAATTGCCTGAACCCAGCCTGTTCGAGACCAGCCTGACAAACTTGGTGAAACCTTGTCTCTACCATAAATCACAAAAATTAGCCAGGCGTGGTGGCACGCGTCTGTCATTCCAGCTCCTTGGAAGGCTGAGGCAGAAGGATCGTCTGATCCCAGCAGGTCGAGGCTGCAGTGGCCGTGAGCGTGCCCCTGTCCTCCAGCCTGGACGACAGGAGTGAGAATCCAACTCAAAAAAAATAAAGCAGGTATTGGTCTTTTTTTTTATTACCCCACAAATATATACTGAGCGCCTACTACATACTAGGCAGGGTCACAGGTTGTGGCTACAACGGTGAGCAAAGCTCCTTTCCAGCTGCACGCTGCGTTTTCTTACACCACCTACTAGGTTGTCCCTGTGCCTCAGTTTCCTTGTCTGTCAACGTGGAGGAGAATCAGCCCTACCTCATCATTTCCAAGAGAGCAACGTGAACCAAATACGTGTCAGGGGATTAGCGCCGCACCTGACACTCAGTGCCCCACACACGTTCGCTATTTTAATGAGCTCTCCCTGCTATGAATAAAGCGGCTATTTATTCTAGGGACCGGTTGGCCGTGTCTCGGGCACCCGGGCTAAGCACTTTCCTCCCGCATTCTCATTTTCTGATTCATTTTTCTCTCCAGGAGGAGGCGCAGGAAGACCGTGGAGTCCCATTCGTGTCCTAATGTGACCCTAAGAAACAGTGGAATGCATGGCGTATCTTCGGCTCCAGGGAATAAAGACACGGGGGGTTCAGTGGCGAATCTTGATTCTGGACTGAGAGCCCAGATGACTGCTTAGCACACAGTAGGCGCTCAGTATTTCTTGCCTCCACGAGTGATGAGCAAATGAACCCCCTGGGGGACATCACTCCCTAACCCCCCTCTGTAAAAAGAGATCAGGACTGAAATGCTTTTCCAGGGCTGGGAGAGGGGGAGAAGAGAGTTCCCAAAAAGCCATGCGGATTCCAGCCGGGGCTCTAAAATAAGCCCGAACACGCCTCTACCCACTCTCTCTCCCTCCCTCCCCTCCCCCAGGGCTCCATGCAGTTTGCTCTGCAAAGGACTGTCAGCCCTGCTTTCATTGCATCATTGATTGCCATCACGACTTAATGCGGGTGGGGGGGGTGGAGGCAGGGAGGATTGGATCCATAAACACGTGTTTGGAAGACAAAGGCTCAGACCCGCAGAGGACGTGGCAGGGAGCAGAGGTCACTGCCTCTGGTCTTTAGATACCTGCAGCCCAGCTGGATGTGCTTTATGTTAATTTCTGCATGTGAGGAACGCATTTTCAGCAGATGGGTATCTGGTTTCCCACGTATCTATTTTTCTTTTTTTTTTTTTTGGTAGAGATAAGGCCCTTGGGATGTTGCCCAGGCTGTTCTCAAGCTCATGGTCTTCCACGTGATCCTCTTGTCTCAGCCTCCCAAAGTACTGGGATGACAGGCGTGAGCCACCATGCCCAGCAAGGGTTCATTCTTAATACTTATTTTATTTATTTATTTACTTATTTATTTATTTAATTTTTTTTGTTTGTTTTGAGTTGGAGTCTCACTCTGTCGCCCAGACTGGAGTGCAGTGGCCGCTCCCGGCCACCGCAGCCTCGACCTACTGGGCTCCGGTGATCCTCC